CCTCCTCCTCCTCACCCTCCTCCCACCCTTGCCTCTGCCATCCGCACCCAGTACAGCGCTTCGTGGCCTCGTAGGAAGCTCCACCGAAGGCCCATCACATGCGCCCCGCGCCACCCAGTACGGCGCTTCGTGACCCCATAGGGAGTTCCACCGAAGGCCCCAATGACCGTGGTCACGTGCGTCTCCCCCCGCCCATATCGGCACACCCTTCACGCGCCTCGTGGCCCCATAGGGAGCGCCACCGAAGGCCCCAGTGGCGACGTTCGCTTGCGCCCCCCCCCGCCCATTTCGGCATACCCATCACGCGCTGCGTGGCCTCATAGGGAGCTCCATCGAAGGCCCCAGTGGCGACGCTCGCATGGCGGCCCCGCTCCATTTCGGCCCCCCCTTCACACGTGTCGTGGCCCCATGTGGAGCGCAGCCGAAGGCCCCCATGGCTGCGCCCGCATGCGTCCCCGCCCCATTTCGGCACGCACTTTTACACGCTTCGTGGCCCCATAAGGCGATCCACCGAAGGCGATACCCTCCACGGCGATGCGCACAGCTGCATATGGGTGGTCCCGTCGCCAGGATAGAAGTTGTCATGACGTCGACCCCCAGCGGTCTCGACGCGCTCCCTGGGACTGGCTTCTCATCCTGAGTCGTTTTGTGGACGGTCCCGAGGCCCGAGGCTTGGTCAGGGCGCGGGGAGCCCAAAACTTAGGACAACCGTCTGTCGTTGTTTCACGTCGCGAGGCCCATCCACTCCGACCCCATCTGGGAGGTCTGTACATTCGGTTCACGTCGTGTCAACTACAGGCGACCCCGCCTCCGGCGTTCAAAGTCGACTGCCGCTGGCGACCCAGAACCGGTCGATGTTGAACGATCCGACGTTTCGGAGACAGCCAATCTTTCGAGGCCGAACAGTCCCCGCGGCATCGGGAACAAACGCTGGGGTCGTCACGGCACGAACCTGCCGCATTCCGACCCCACTTGGGAGGCCTCTTACAGTGGAGACCCATGCCAAGAGACGCCCTGCTTGCCTCCAGGGTACCCCGGGTGTCTGGGGGCCCTTGGGTCTTGCGATGGAAAGCGTGACGCTCCCACAGCGAAAATCCATGCACGTCCTGTGGTCTCAGGGTCGGGTTTCTCGTGGAAGGTTTCTTGTGGACTGGCCTCCACTGTACACCGTAGGCGATGCTCAAGAAAACTTAAGTTTTCGGCCAGAGTCTCGATGATTCTGAACGTTTCAATTTAATTCCTAAGATTTTGATAGAAATTCTGGGTTTAAATTCAAGTTCTGAGACTATGAATTTCTTAACCCATGATTTCTAAAGCATTTCGCAGGGTGTAGTCTCCGAGCCGCCGATCCGAGGCGGCAGCGGCTCTCGACCGCGTCCTGGTCTCCGCCCGCTGCGAGCGGCCAGACGGCTCACCGGCGGCGGCAGCGCCGCCGCCGGGCTGGGAGCTGGAGCTGCGCGAGGACTCGGGGGGCAACGAGAGGGGGGAGGGGGCTCAGGGGAGGACGACTTGGGCTTGAGCTCTGAGGTTCGCGGGTGCTTTCGTTGCTTCTCGGCGGTCCTCCAGCCGCGGGGTGCCTTCCAGCGGCTGAGCCTCACCGAGAGCGTTCCAGGGGTGCCCCGATCGTCCCCGAGTGGCCGCCGGAGGCCTGAGCTATGACCTGGAAGCCACCAGGGAAGAGGAGGAGGAAGCGGAGGAGAAAGGGAGAAGGAGGAGAAGGAGGAGGAGGAGGAGGAGGCACAAGTTATGGCTTGGAGAACGAAGCCCGAGCCAGAGGCTACGGTGGGGGGGGAAGGGGGGGAACACAGGCCTCCTCGCGTCGTGGAAACATCACGACGGACGGCTCTTCGAAGTATCTGGCCTCCCAGGGGCCCTGACCAAGCCTCGGGACGCCAGAGACGATTCAGGACGAGGAAAATTGCCGTCAAGAAAATGATACCGGAGAAAAACCCAATCAGCGTTTTTTTTTATATTACAACGGGCTATAGTGCTATTGGGCTATAGGGCTATTGGGCTGCACGCCCGGGCACCCGGGCACCCCCGGGCACCCCCCGGGCACCCGGGCGTGCAGCGAAAATCGGCGGCCAACCTCACCCTTGGGCACCCCCGGGCACCCGGGCACCCGGGCGTGCAGCGAAAATCGGCGGCCACGCTAACCTAACCATATGAATCCGCTAGGACCCCTACAGAGGCAAGCTCAGATTGGGGAACGACTCAGGATGAGAAACCGGTCCTGGGGAATGGGTCGCGGCTTCTGGGGGTCGGCGTCATGAAAAAGGATGACGCCAGGGGTCTCGGAACGCATCGACCCCCAACCGCCCACTGATCGCCGATGTGGGTCTGATGCCCTGCCCCGCCCAGGAACGTGCGGCCCCGCTATCGGGGACTTACCGCCGACAATTCGGCGCTGCATCGCGGATTCCAGGTCGACGTTTCCCCCCTTGTGCCAGTCCCCCCTGGCCGTGGGACGCAGTTACCGACTCCCCGCACCACACCTTTGCGGCGAAGCTACATCGCTTCTCGCCCCCTGACGTGATATCCCGCCCACGGGCCCCTCAGTGCGGGAGATCCTACCATGGGAAGGAGGAGGAGGCGGACGATGTTGAGGGGGAGGGTCACCCTGCCACCCTGGAGACGGCAAGAGGAGGAGAAGGACGGAGAGGAGGAGGAGGATGAAAAGGGGGAGGATGAGAAGGGAGGCGGAGGAGGAGGTGGAGGACGAAGACGAGGACGAGGACGAGGATGAGAAGGGAGGAGGAGGAGGAGGAGGAGGAGGAGGAGGAGGACGAGGGCAAGGACGAGGATGAGGACGAGATGGGAGGAGGAGGAGGAGGAGGACGACGACGACGAGGACGAGGACGAGGATGAGAAGGGAGGAGGAGGAGGAGGAGGAGGAGGAGGAGGAGGAGGAGGACGAGGAGGACGAGGAGGACGAGGACGAGAAGGAAGGAGGAGGAGGAGGAGGAGGACCAGAGCGAGCCCAGGAGCTAGCGTTGCCCCTCTGAGGACGTGGTGCCCGGGGCCACGCGCTCCGAGCGCGCCTCCAGCGGCGCGGCAGTCGTCCTGGCCGCCCGGGGCGGCCAGAACTCGAGGGGGCAGAGCCCAGAGCTCCTCGGGGCTCACGTGGGCCCCGTGTCGGACGGGGTGAGGACGAGGATAAATCCGCCCAGGGCGTTCCAGGACGCTCTCAGAGCGTGCTGGGGCGCTCTGAGAAGGCTGCGGCGTCCGGATCTCAGAGATTCTCGATTCATTGATCCTCACCCGATCTTATCCTCGTCCCAGCTTCGTCTTACCCTCTCTGAGCCGTAGAAGTGGGGTGGGTAGGGCAGATGGGAGGCCGGAGCAGGTGCAATAGTGATCGCAGTAGTGATCTGGACGCAATAGTTGCACGTGGATGCAATCGAATTCTCTCAAACGCAATAGTGTACGCCCCTTGCCGTGGCTCGTGCCCCCCTGGAATATTTCGCGCGACAGTTCGCGCAAGCCACCTATTGCACCTCCCACCGTTAATTCCATTGGCGTTGCCCCCATCGCTCCAGTCCAAGCCCGAGTCGTGCAGAAATCGCGATGGGCGGTTTTTGGCCTCTTTCGGCATTTGGTGGCCCTCGCGAGGCCCTGGGACCGTCAAAGAAACCGCTCGGGATGAAAACTCGGTTCCAGGGAACGGGGCGAGACCTCCCAAGGGTCCGCGCTCTGCAAAAAAAATCATGACGTCGGGGGTCTGGGCCCAGATTTCCGACGGCACGATTTTCCCAACCCTGGATTTGTTCCTCGGCTTCGGCCTCTGAGCCCCGTCGTCGGGCCCCAGGGCTGCTCAAACTGAATCCGGGACGAACGAAACTCTGCACGCTTCGCGCCAGGCCTCCCAGGTCGCCCTGCCCCTGGGTAGCTTATGGCCCTGCGCCCCCTGGCGGCGGGCCTTCCCCCTCGCCCCCGCCATAGGCGGACGCCGAGGGCTTCCGCGGCGCTCCCCTCGTCTCCTACCGCGAGACCTCTGGGACGTCCGGCGTGTCTCACCGCCGTGTCCGCTCCCCACGGCCCTCCCCCAGCGGTGTCGCCCTTGCGCCGCTCGGGCCTCTCCTTTGCCGCATGGCTGCGGCGGACCTCCCGGGTCCTCGCCTGCCCTCAGCTGCCCCCCGCCCTGGTCTGCCAGACCCCGCGCGCGAGGTCGCAGGGAAACCCCCTCGACCCAGGGCGCCGGTCTGCTGGCCTCCCCCTCTGTGGGGGCCTCTCCCCGTCGGCTCCTCCTCGGTTCGGCACTCGCCTGCCTGCCTCCTCCGCGGCCCCTCCGCGGCCGCTCTGGCCCAGCGCCCAACACCGCCTGGCGCGCGCCCTGCTGGGGTCGTCGGGGCTCGCCCAGGCTCCCAGCTCGTCTCCGTCACTGGGCCTCCTTGTGGCCCTTGGCCTCTCGGTGCGGGGCCACCCCTTAAGCCGTATCACTTCAAGTCCTCCTCCTCCTCCTCCTCCTCCTCCTCCTCCCTCCTCCCTCCTCCTCCTCTCCTCCTCCTCCTCCTCCTCCTCCTCCCTCCTCCTCCCTCCTCTCCTCCCTCCTCCTCCTCCTCCTCCTCCTCCTCCTCCTCCTCCTCCTCTCCTCCTCCTCCTCCTCCTCCTCCTCCTCCTCCTCCTCCTCCTCCTCCTCCTCCTCCTCCTCCTCCTCCTCCTCCTCCTCCTCCCCCGTTCTGCCCCGTGGTGGCCTGGGGCCCGCGGCCTCTGGGCTCCCTGCCTCGGCTGGCCCTCCCCTGCGCCCTACTCGGGGGCCCCCGCCTCGCTCGCGTGCCCCCCCGCCTCCTCCCGGGCGGCCGGCGTGGGCCGCCTCTTTCTGTCCCTCCCCGCCGCGGGGTCGACGGACGGCTGGTCCTGCCACACCGCGCTGCTCGTCCGGCTGTCCTCAGGCAGTGCCCTCCCGCCATTGGCGGCGCGGTCTGCTCGCACCCGCCCTGGCAGCACCCCCGACACCTCCCAGTGTCTGGCGATCCAGATCTATTCCGCTGAGCGCCCGCATGCCTGGTCGATTCCTCCGAGACGTTGGCCTGGTGTCCCTCGTTCCGCGTCCCGCGGCCGGCCCTGGGTTTGCTGTACGTCGTGGTGGCGGTCTTCCTCGTCATGGACGTGGTGTTGGCCTACCCGAATCCCATTACTTTGTTGCTGCACGTCGCCCAGAAGGACCTCCTGGCGTGCGCTTTCCTGTGAGCGGCAGCGAGGCTCGCCTCCTGTTTGCCTCCTCCCTCGCTGGGTCTTGACTCTTTTCGCCTTCCTCTTCCTGTGCGCTAATTTAGGCCGTTGCCCCTGTGCTTCGCCCCTTGACGCCGCCCGACCTTTCGCCGCGGTCGCGCTCAAAAAGTATCCCCACCAGCCCATCCCAGAACAGCAACTTGTCAAAAGTTCGCAAAAGTTCCGCAAATCATACTGACTGTCGTTATTTTCGGGCGTACCTTCTCCTGCCAGTGCACACACCCTCCTCTTCCTCCTGCATCCCACCTGCTCCCTTTTAGCTCTTCCTTGTGGGAGGAGTGGGTGGGTGACGAGGCGGAGGAGGATGAAGGAGAGAAGGCGGTGGGAGGCGAGAGGGAGATAGCAGCGACGACGACGACGACGACGGCGACGGCGGCGGCGACCACAACAACGACGACGACGACAACGACGAAGAGGACGACGACAACGACTACGACGACCCGCCTGCTCCCTTTTAGCTTTTCCTTGTGGGATGAGTGGGAGGAGGACGGGGCGGAGGAGGAGGAGGAAGAGAAGGCGGAGGGAGATAGCGGCGACGACGGCGATGACCACAACAACGGCAACGACGACGACGACGACGACGACGACGACGACGACGACAACGGTGACGACGACGACGACGACGACGACGACGACAACGACGACGACGACGACGACGACGACGAGTCAACCATCATTGCCTTTTTCTGGGTCTTTCTCTCTGAGGGCCTCTTGGAGGCATCTTGGGGCTATCCAAGGGCCTTCTTGGGGTGGGGCTCTTGTAGGGGATCTGGCAGGTCTTCTGGGGCCACCTTGGAGGCCACGGCTCACAAAGGAGCGCGGCGTCGATTACGGTCCCTCCCTTCGGAACCCGAGAAGTGGCCTCTTGGGGCCCTCTTGGGGCGATCTTGGGGCGCTCTTGGGCCGGGCATCTCAGGGGCCTGTCTTGGGGCTCTCCTGGGCCGTCTTGGGGCCATCTTGAAGCCTCAAGGGCCCATCGAAAGCGAAAAGGCGAGAAGGGAAAAAGCATTGATTTTCCATAGGTGATTGAAGGATGTTGGCCTCTCGGGGGCGTCTTTCGGAGGCTCCGTGGCCACGTGGGGCCGTCCTGGGGCAGTCTTGGAGCCTCGCGTAGGCTTGTCAGGAGCTATCTTAAAGCCATCGAGGGCTATCTTGAGCGATCTTGGAGGTCGCCCCCGAAGGGCAAGAAGGGGGTTGGACAGAGGGGGTCCTCTAAACCATTCACGCCCAGAGGGCTGGTGAGACTACCTCCTGGAGAAGGGGTCGGGGCTCATCGGCGGATGTCAGAGGATGGGGAGAAGAGAGTGGGAGGATACGGGGGCCTCTTCGGCTTCGGGGGGTGGGGCGTCATGGCCATGGTTGGACGCGGCACGAGAAATTGGCCAGAATTCCGTGCAGGAGGGCTCTTGATCTTGAGCGAACATAGTGAGGAGGGGCACGAGGAGGACGAGGAGGAGCGGGAGAAGGAGGAGGAGTCGGAGGTCTAGGAGGAGGAGGAGGAGGAGGAGGAGGAGGAGGACATGCTCCACGCTGATGCTGGGGGCGAAGACAGGAGAAACACTTGCGCCAAACAAATTGAGGGTCGGCACCCATCCAGGAGGTCTTGAGTAGGAGGAAAAAAAGGTCGAGGAGCAGCAGGAGGAGGAGTGGGAGGAGGAGATAAAGGAGGAGGAGGAGGAGCAGCAGCAGCAGGCTCAGTTGATACTAGACACACTGGACATACACATTTTCTTGACGCTGCCGAAGTCTCCGTCTGAATCGACAAGCAGAGGAAAGTGACGGCCGAACGTCGCGAAAACCATTCGCGCAGGCCAGGACCAAAACCGAAAGGATCCCAATGTCCAAACAGCTATGTTGCGAAATGTGCTGGGAATTACAGCATGCCACGTGGTTGGTGCATAACTCTAAACGCACTGGCACGTTGTTTAAAGCGCTGGGAAGCCCAAGGTGCATCCCTGAATTCAAGATGGAATCAAAGCATTGCTGCATGTTCCAATCACAACGACGATACCCGCGCATGGATCCAAAACAGCTGATTTCCACGATGCCTGCGGAACAGTATGTGCCCGTGCAATGATGAGTGTGGAATCCTATCACCCCTAGGCTGTTCGCCCTCGTCATCGTTTTCTTGTTCATTGTTCTGCCGATCGGCGCGGGCCCTCGCAACCCCCTCCCCCCCCCGTGGAGTGGATCTTGGCTGTTTTGGGGCGCCTGTTTCGAGCAGGTGGAGCCTCCCCCATGGGACGCACTGATGCAAACAGTCGCACCGAGCAGAGCTCCAGAGCCAGAGCCTCCCACCCTCTCCTTCAGCCCAATGTCGAAACGCCGGACAGGAAAAAAGCTCACCGCATCGTCGCCCCCGATGCGCGCCCTCCTCCGCAGCCTCCCTGCCGCGGCAGGGGGGCCCACCACCAGGACCCTCGGAGGCGAGGCCCCACTCTGGAGCGCCTCGCGGGAGCCTGAGCTCTGGGCCTCCTGGATCGGGTCCGAGCAGATGGGGTCGGAGGATCGCGCCGCATCGACGATGCGACATCGACGATGCGGCTCGATGTGGGGCCCGTGTTTCCCACGTCGGCGTCGCGGGCAAATCGCCGACGCGTCGCCGATGCATCGGCGATACATCGGCGATGCCTTGGCGATGCGGCGCGATCCTTCGACCCCACCTCTGCAAGCTGCCTCCCAGCGCGGCAGAAGACAACAGTGCCCTGGGAGCCCACCGGAGCCCGAGCGGCCACGGGCAAGTGCGCTTGCCACCCCCCGTCGGGCGGGCGGCAGTGGGGACGGTGGCTTCCGTGGGGGGGGGGGGGGGGGGGGGGGGAGACAGCGGCCCTGAAGGAACGAGTTCGGGCCCCTTGTGGAGCCAGCGGGGGCCCAGAAGGGGCTCTAAGATCCTGGGGGCCTTCTTTCCCCCCCCCCCCATGCAGCTCCCCCCCCCCCCCCCCTCACCAGCCCGAGCCCGGGAAGCGCGGCGGCTGCCGCAAAGGGCGCCGGCAACATTGCACGAAGCCAGCAAGAGCCTTCGGTGCAGTCACTGTTCGGCGGCGAGCCCAGGGGGGAAATGAAAGGGGGCCGGCCTTCTCAGGAGGCTGCGGGGCTTCGCAGGGGCCCTCGCGCCTTCTGGGAAACGTGTGAGCCCTCTTCGAGGCCGCAGACGGCGTCTCAGAAGGCGCGAGGGCTCCTGCGAAGCCCCGCCGCCTTCTGAGAAGGCCTGCCTCTGTCACTTCCCCTCTGGGCTCGCCGCCGAACTGGTTGCGAAACTACCACACTTGGACAGAAGCGGTGTGCGGCGAAGCAACTTGAATCCGGAAACCAAGACGGGAAAGTGCAACACGTCCTGAACGCAGAGGGGGAGAATTACGGTCGGGAACTTTGGCTTAGCGTGTCGCTCCGCCAGTTTTGGTACACCACGTTTCGGCGCGACGCGCTATCCATTTCCTGGTCCCGAGGCAGCGCCCTGAGCGGTTCCCAACCCGCCGACGCAACACGCTGAGCAAAATTTCCGGACCGTAGTAACCAAGAGTTCTCAAGATCTGCTGCGCAGCAGGTCCTGCGCAAGAAGATCTGCCACCGTTGGGACCGCCTCCTGTGGGACGAGTCCGCCGCAGCGGTCGCGAGGGACTGGAGGCGAGAGGACCGCAACCTGCCCGAGGAGGACGAGGTCGAGCTGCCCCGAGCGCAGAACATCAAGAGGCGTCTCTTGTGGGGGGGGAAGCGTGAGAAAGAGGATCGGCGGTGAGCCGAGGTGGGGAGCGAGAGGGGGCAGGCCTCCTCGCAGGGCGGCGGGGCTTCTCAGAAGCCTTCGCGCCTGCCGAGGAGGCGTTTTGTGGCTGGCTTCGGGGCAGGCACAGAAAGCTGCGTCGGAAGGGCAGAGGCCTCCTGATCCTTCTGAGAAGGCCCGCCCCCTCTGCCTTCCCACTGGGCGCGCCGCTGAGAGGAGGAGGGGAACAGCGGTGCTGACGCTTGTGCTCCGCCTTCTTGATTGCAGCGGCAGGATCCGCGTCGAATTCCTAGTGAGAACGCGTCTGGGGATAGGTCTGGGGTGTCCGACTTTGGGGCCGCCAGCAGGTACACTCTGAGCAGCCTGGTCGCCGCGGCGAAAGAGAAGGTAGTGGTCCTTGCGCTGCGCTACCCGTGGTGCACAGTGTGCGAGGAGAAGGACAAGGGCTTCGTCAAAGCCACAAAAGTTCTCGGCGGCAAAGAGCAGTTCGCCGAGGTCGCTTTCGGCGCCATGGACGCGCGAGAAGAGAAGGCTGCGGCCAGGCTGCTCGGCGAGGAGGACGAGATCCACCTCTGCAAGAGGGAGCGATGCCCCCTGTACGTCTTCAAGCCAGACGAGCCACTTGGCGAGCCTTACAGGATAGACTTGCAGATGCTGTACGAGATGGACGAGTACTCCATGATGGCCGACCCGATGGCGGGTGCCCCCGGACACGCGGCGAGGTCGCAGGCCGCCAAGCCCAACTTCGACCGCTTCGAGAGCGACCTTGCGCGCCTGCTGCCTCCGGCGCCCGAAGACCTCCCCTCCTCCTCCTCCTCCTCCCCCTTTCCCTCCTCCTCCTCCTCCTCCTCCTCCTCCTCCTCCTCCTCCTCCTCCTGCTGCCTCCGGCGCCCGGCTTCCGCGAGAGCCGGTGCAGTCCCTCGCCCCCCTTTCTCGGGTCTTGCCAGAAGTGCCCCTGGCCCGAGGCGACCCCAGGATCTCCGAGGAGACCCCCACGGCCTTCAGAGCACCCTAACCGACGAGGCCCAGAGGGCCCCAGGGGCCAAGATGGAGCGTGGAGCTGGGGGCACCCTGGGCCAGGGGCACTACTGGCCACACCCGACCTTCTCCCTACACGCCACGGAGGATCGGCGGCGCGCCGAGGGGGGGGGGGGGAGTGAGAGAGGGGGCAGGCCTGCTCGCAGGGCGGCGGGGCTTCTCAGAAGCCCCCTGGCCTGCTGAGGAGCCCTCTCCCTCCCCTTACCCCCTGGCATCGCTCGGACGTGTGCATTTTTCCTTCGGCGGGGGCCATCGAGGAGCATCCTTGATCATTTGGCGAAAAAACCACGCACGAAACCGAAAAATACACAGGGAATGGACGTCCGAGCGATGGCGAGTTCGGGCGTTCTGGTCGATTCTCGGCGGCTTTCCAGCCTCGGCATGCGTTCCAGCGGCTGCGCCTCGCCGAGGGCGTCCCGCGGGCGCCCAGGTCGTCCCGACTGGCCGCCGGAGGCCCGAGTTACGGCCCGAAAGCCAAACTCGGCGGCGCGCCAAGGGAAGCGAGAGGGGGCCGGCCTCCTCGGATGGCATCGCGGCGTCGGAGGAGGCGCCAAAGTTTCGCAGAAGGCCAGGGTTCTTTGTCGGAGGTTCAAGAGGACTCGGAGGTGGACAGACCTCCTGCCCTGACACGTCGATTAAGGAATTGGCCGGTTTCGGTTCGCGAGAGGGCGTCGCGGCCGTCATTTTTGCGGGTCCAGGTCCGTCGGTTTCGGTCCCAGGTCGTTTCCACTAAGGGGAGGTTTGCTAAAGGGAGGTTTGTCCACCGCCGAAGGACGAGGTGCTTCGAGCTGCGTAAGTCCACCCCTGGATCCCTTCCTGCCATCGCAGTCGGGCCGCTGAAGGAGGAACTTCTCGTGGGGGGGGGCTCACTGCCCCCTCACTGCTGTGCAGGTTTACTCAGGTGTTCCTTGGGCTTTCGATGGGAATCGAAGTTGAACTTATGGAGGAAAATTGGGCCTCCTCTCTTATTTCAGGCGTTCCAGGCAGGGCCTTGCCTTCGAGGATCGAAGGATTTGTCATCTCTTCCGCGGCGGACGGTCGGCGGAAGCAAAACGAGGCCGCCTCCGCCGGCGGAAGCTCGGCGGAAGGCGGCGGGAGTGAAAGATGCGCCCCCAGGAGATGAGCACGCTCTTGGCTTCAGGGTGTCCGGAATCGCCCACTTGGGGGCCCTTGCGGCAGCGTGTCGACTGGGGGCCCCCCGTCCCTCGGGACCCCCCGTCTTCTGTCAGGAGGGGAAGAAACACACAGACACAATTAATCGTCGACTCCCAGGAAAATATGCGAAAATATGGGAAGTGGGGGGGAAGACAAAACCCCAGAAAATATGGGAAAATATGGGGGATCATTTTATTTGTGTGTATTTATGTGTGTGTCCTTGGGCCCCTTGATTCTGAGCCACCGAGCGATCTCTCCGAGCCTCTTCGGAGCAGACCCGCCGCCTCTCCGCCTTCCCCCCCCCCACGTCTCTGGGCCCGTGGCCGCGAGGAGGCTCTCTCGGGGGCCACGACACAGGGTCGGGTCGGGCACGTCCCTCTACAGGAGGAATGTTCAGACACGGTCCAGAGATAGTCTAGGGGCGATGCTTCGATTATTCTTGACTGGTTCTGGTCACAGCTTGACTATGTTGTCACGTTTCGTCCAAAACCCGCATGCAGGAGGACATGCCCGACCTAAACACAGGTGGGGATGCATCGACCCCCAATCGCCCATTCATCGCCGACAGGGGCCCCGTATCCCCACCCCGCCCAGGAAGGCCTTGATGCGCTGTCGGGAGCCTCTCTCCGATCCATCGGCGATGCACCGCCGATTCCAAGTCGATGCAGCCCCCCCTTTGCCAGTCCCCCCCCAGCGCGTTGCCCCTCAGAGGCGAGGGAGAGGGGACGGGGCATTGCACGGGCGGGGTGCAGCGAGAGCCGCCCGGGAGGAAGAAGCTGCACAAGCTGAAAAAAATACCCCAGTGCGACCCTACCTAGAAGTTGGAACCCCTAGGAAAGCAGCATTAGTTGCTATGCTATGCTATAATATGCTATGCCATGCTATGGTGCGCTATGCTATGCTATGCTATGATGCGCTATGCTGTGCTATGATATGCTCAGCTATGCTATGTCATGATGCGCTGTGCTATGCTATGCTTGGCTATGTTATGTTATGCTATGCTAAGCTGCGCTATGCTGAGCTGTGCTATGCTATGATATGTTATGCTATGATATGATATACTATGCTATGCTGCGCTATGCTATGCCATGCTATGATTGGCTATGGTATGGTATGCTATGCTATGCTGCGCTATGCTATGCTATGCTATGCTTGGCTATGTTATGCTTTGCTATGCTATGCTAATGCAGCGCTGCGCTATGCTAAGCTAAGCTAAGCTAAGCTAACCCTCTAGGCAGAGCCTAGGTAGGGAACCCCGGTTGCCGGGGGAACCGCGGGGCGGATCCTGGGGGAACCGCCCGGGGCGAGCCCCACTGCCCGGCCCTTTAAGCAAACCGAGTAAGAACCCTTCTAGGCAGAGCCTAGGTAGGGAGCAAGTTCCCCGAATAGTGTTTTTGCATTTAGGGGTTCTGGCTTTTCTTCTAAGGAACTGGGAGGTGTCGTCGATCTGGCGGCTATGTGGCCGCCGTCGCCTCCCTGTCGACGCCTCGTCGCCGCCCGTCGTCTGGGGCTTGTCTTCGGTCTGGCGGCTATGAGGCCGCCGCCGTAGCCGCCCCGTCGCCGCCTCGTCACCGCCCGTCGTCCAGAGCTTGTCTGCTGCTATGGCGGCTACGTGGGCGCCATCGCCGCCCCGTCGCAGCCTCGTCGCCACCTCGCAGAATTGCACCACATAGACTGCAGAACCTAGATTGCACCACATACTGCACAACATGGATCGCACCACATGGTGCACAAGATAGATGCACAGCATAGATTTCAAGTCACAGATTGCACCGCGTCCATTGCACCACAAAGATGCGCCACAGATGACGCACCACATAGATCGCACGGCATGGATCGGACCACAGAGTTTGCACAGCATAGATCGCACAATATATAGATATAGGACAGCCTAGATTGCACGGCATATGTTGCACAACCTAAATCGCCCAACATAGTTTGCACCACATAGATGCGCCACATACATTGCATTACACGGATCGCACCACGAACATTGCATTCCATCGATCGCACCACATAGATTGCACAACATGCATAGCACAGCATATAGTGCATTACATAGATCGGACCGCATATATTGCACCACATAGATGCGCCACAGATACAACACAACATATATTGCATGGCATAGATCACATTACACAGCTTGCACAGAATAGATCGCACAGGATATGGTGCACACCATATAGTGTACTTCGTATATTGCACAACATAGATCGCACCACACCGATTGCACCACCTTTAGTGCACCGCATACGCTGCACCACGTAGATTGCACCACATACGTTGTCCCACCGACATTGGACCACATATATGTCTAGAAACACACTGCTTGGGGCCCATGCTGGCTAATATTGCTTGGCATGAGAATGTGTGAACATGTTGGAGATAGATGGGGAACAGGAAAGCCTGGGAGATATTAGAATATGGGCACTCCTGGAACGTGTGTCTATTTATTTGTGGCCCCCTGGGCCCCTTTAGTCTCTCAGGCGCTCACGCGCCTGGCCGACAGCGACGCACTGGCGCACTTCCGCGGCGCCTCCCAGCACGCGCTCGTCGCCGTTGGAGTGAACGCCACCGAGCTGCGCTGGGTTGGCAGACGGCTGCGGGGCGAGGCGGCGGTGGCTTTGGCGGAGGACTCTAGGCCTACTGTTCCTCCTCCTTCCCCTCCTCCTCCTCCTCCTTCTCCTCCCCCTCCTTCTCCCTCTTGCCGCTCCTGCTCCTCCTCCTCCTCCTCCTCCTCCTGCTCCCTCTCCTCCTCCTCCTCCTCCTCCTCCTCCTCCTGCTCCCTCTCCTTCTCCTCCTCCTCCTCCTCCTCTTTTTTTTCCTCCTCCTCCTCCTCCTCCTCCTCCTCCTCCTCCTCCCTCTTCCATTCCTTCTCCTTACAACTAACTTCTCCCTGCTGCACCCCGAGGCCAGTATTTTCATGGGCGGGCCGGGCGTTTCGCCTGAGACCCCCTAACCATGTATGACACTCAGGCTTCTAAAATGATAAAGCTTCGCAGATGGAGGGCGGGTCGTTTTCAAAATGTGGTTCTCGCCCTAGCGCCGCGTACATTCATTCTAAGCAGTTGCAATCGTTTGACTGATTGAGGGCGGCTCCTTTTCAAAATGTGGCTCTCGCCGTAGCGCCGCGCACATTCTTTGCATACTTCACGGATTGAGGGCAGTTCTTGCTTAAATTGTAGCTTAGCACCGCGCACATTCATTCGTTATGAAAAATTGCAAGAGTTTGACGGATTAAGGGCGGTTATGCTTCAACATGTGGTTCTCGCCTTAGCGCCGCGCACACTGTTTGCAAAAACGTGCAAGAGTTTCACGGGTTCTCAGGACCAACGCACCAGGCACTATGTGTTGGCGGCATTCTGGCTTATGAGGGTGCACAGGTTATGCTGACTCGCGGTGTTCAAGTCCCAGGAATGGCGTTCTGTCACGACCCAGGATCGTCAAGACGCAACAATCAGGTTGATCCGTGGCGTTGGAATCCTGAGAACCATGTTTTGGCATGCTTCAGGGTCTTCCAACAGTTGTCTTCCAACGAGGCAGTTCCCTCAGTAAAAATGAGCCGTTGTAGGGCTCTATGAAGAGGGAGTTTGGAGGGAGGATTGATCCTAAGATCGTTGTCGCCTCTTGGGTTTACACTGGTCCTCCTCCTCCCCCTCCTCCTCCTCCTCCTCCTCTTCCTCTTCTTCCTCCTCCTCCTCTTCCTCCTCCTCCTTTTCCTCCTCCTCCTCCTCCTCCTCCTTCTCCTCCTCCTCCCCCTCCCCCTCCCCCCCCTCTCCTCCTCCTCTCCTCCTCTCCTCCTCCTCCTCCTCCTCCTCATCATCATCATCATCATCATCATCATCATCACCATCACCATCACCATCACCATCACCATCCCTCCTCCCTCCTCCTCCTCCTCCTCCTCCTCCTACTACTACTACTACTACTACTACTACTACTACTCCTACTACTACTCCTACTACTACTCCTATCCTTATTCCTTATTAGAATATACTCCTACTCCCCCCTCAGGCCGGCAGATAGGGGCCGCATCCGGGTGGTCCCATCCTAACCTGTAAAAAACAATACAAAATCAACATTTTTCTTATTTTTTCCTCTCGACATGGACGTCCTGTCGTCCACGGCGATAATCCATTGCAAAAAATACCACAAAGAGCACACGCGCGCGTTCATGTCAGAATCCTACCGAACACCGTGTGTTTGCAAGCATTTCAACATAAAACATCAAAAACCCAATGGTTTTTCACAAACAAAAAAAACTACAAATTTCCTGCCCGGGCTCTCTTGCTGAAATCATAGGGAAACCATAGGAATCTTAAGAATTCTGTAAAAATCCAGCGATTTCACGTCATCGCGCGGTGCACTCGCGATGCTCTGTCATGCACCCAGGCCGCGAATCCTGTGCAAAAAATACCACGCGGGCGACATGCGCGCGCGTCGCCGCGAGCGCATGCTCAAATCCTTCTAGAGTCGTCGCCGTCATTGGCACTGTCAGACCGTCGGGCTTCCTCCGGCCACCTCTGGCTTCCTGCGGTGTACCGGGCCATTCTCGACTCGTCTGGCAATGCGTGCGCGGCATTCAACACGCGCTCGCCAGTTCCCGTCGGCAACCGCCATCGCGGCCGCATCAGCTGTACCAAACCGGCTGGCCGGTGTGACTTCGGCCCCCAGTTGTGCCAGCTTTGCTTCTTATGTTGTGGGAGGGCGGGTGGGACTGGGCATGCCATGCTTGACTCGCTCGAGCTGGCTAGCTTGACTCCTACTCCTACTCCTACTCTTACTCCTCCTCCTCCTCCTTCTCCTCCTCCCCGACGTACCCGACGTACCCCAGCAGCGCCGCCCCCGCAGGGGGGCTCCTCTTGCAGCCACGCGGCGCGTTGATCGACCATGTCGTGATTCGCTGCCGTTCCGTGGTCGGCTGGTGGCACGGCGTCTTCTTCGGTGGCGACGTCTCCTTCGTCGGCGGCAAGTTGGCCTGCGTCCACGGCCTTTGAGGGCGACTGCTTCCAGTTGCTCTCCTTCTACATTGCCTCCTGCTCTTACGGCACCGTGCCGTGAGTAGGCGGCGCCAGGGGGTAGTCCGTCGCGCGCCCACGTGCGCGGCGGGAGACCCTCCTGAGGCGCTGCGCTCCTCCTCCTCCCCCTCCTCCTCCTCCTCAGGAGCTTCCCTGAGGGCGCCGTCACCCCTGACCGCGGCGCCGCAGGGGCCCGGCCCATCCCCCGCCCGTGCTTCAGCGGGCCCAGACATGGGTCGGCCCCACAAGCCGCCGAACCAAGTGAGCAATCCAGTGGCCCAATCTTTTTGCGCAAGAGCACCGCAGTGGCTGCGGGGCGTCGCTGAGGCCAGGCCACTCCTTTTTCCCACGGAGGCAGAATGATTGAGCAATTATTGCATGCCCTCGTCGGGCAACCACCACACACCTCTGTGGCGCGCGCCATCCATGCCGGCAGCCTTGAGGGGAGACACAGAAGTTCGCGCGACCGCCAGACTTTCCAAATTAAGGATCTTCTTCGCGCGCGGCCAACCCACGGGCTTCCCCGACCGAGGACGCGAGACGCCTCGCACCGCGAAGCCCCCGAGGGAGACCACAACGGAGCCCAGACGCCCCTCCTTGGTCTCCCCTGGGAGTGGCGCAGCCCTCGGCGGCGCTACCAGCGGCAGAAGTTTCGCCGGCCTCCGACATGAGACCCTGGCGCGGCGGCGGAGGGCGCCCATGCCTTGCAGCGTTGGCAGACCCGGTCCCCCAAGCCACGAGGCTTCTGTCTAGCAGCGGCCCCCTGCGACCGACCCGCTGCTCCCCTGCTGGCATCCACCACCTAGTCGGGCGAGGGCTCTGGCGCCGCCCAGAATCCCAAGCCCGAACCCATCTTTCGCGGCGCCCGGGGGGAAGGGGAACCATTTGAGACACAGGAATGGCAGTAGCCAAGTCCCTAAGCCGCCGCCTGCGGTGCTGGGCCCTCGGGAACCCTGCGAGCCCGCGTTGGTACGACCTGACTCCCACAAATCATTGGCCACCGTGAACCAACATCTAGCACTCGAGTCGGGCGTGGCGGGCCAGTCTCTGCCTCACTTCCGCTGCCGCAGCGCGGAAGGGGCAAGATCAGTTCAGCCCTGGAACTGGCGGCGCACCGGGGGGTAATCAGATAGAACTCCAGGTAGTAGGCCCCCAAAGAACCTACCCATTCAGAGAAACTGTAGACTTGCTCCTCAGTTTGCTCAGGCGCGACCTGGAACGCCAGACTCCCCCTCGCAAACTCAGGCGGCTTGGGATTTGTTTGTAGCTTGCAACGAAAGCTCTCGCCACAGCAAGCCCCTGGCCTGAAGAGACCATTGCGACTGATTGTCAGCATGGGTGGAGGGAAGGGCAAGATCACCCTGATCATCATCCTTGATGGGAGGGGCGCAACCTCATCAGGCACGTCAGTGGCAAAATGCTCATCTTCCCTTTCTCAAAACAACTAATACTGAAGCAGGGGGGGGTGATGGACACGCGTGTCTCAGGCCCCCAGCTGGGCAGCTGCCATGCCCGAATTCCCCGCACGAGCCTCAGACCCTTGCTGGCTGGGCACGCAAGCTTCTGGGACCTTGAATGGCTCTCGAAGCCTCGCCGCCTCCTCAAAACCCAAGCCCGAGCCCCAGAAGTGCCAAGTCCAACCGTCGCCCGCAGCCCGCGATCGATGGCCTGAAAGTCCGCCGCGACCTTCAAAAAAGGGTGCTGGGTTGATTCAGATAAAACAAAGCAATCAAGTATCCGACCAAACCCTAGAGTTCACGAGCACTGAGAGTTGGCGGGCGTGGCAACGACTCCCTGAACCAAAGCCAGCCACTCCGGCTAAAGCAATTGTTCGGGTGTCATGTTCCAATCTCCCATGCCTATCCAGGGACCCATGGACGCTGCTGAGAATGGCTCCAAGACTGGCTAGTTTCTTGGGATTCCCCTTAGCACCCACCGAAGAGGCAAGGTAAACCTCCACGATCAGCGCAGATTGGTTCTGGGCCCGCAGCTGCATGGCCGCAAGACCTGAAGTCCAGACATGGTTGCTCGAACCGGCCCAGTTGACGCGATCCTATCTGATCGCGAGGAGAGGGGGCAAGGTGGCGGAGGGAGGCAGCCTTGCACCGCTTCCTGACACCCATTGCGATGCCTCGAGCTCGATCACGCTGCGGCACGTTGCACGCCGATGACCGCATACCTGCGTACTTTGCCTTGCGCCAGTCATGGGGAAGGTCGCTGGACTGGGGAGGGGCATCATGCGTCTCAGGCGCTACGAAGACCTCAGCGACCTCCTGCTGGCACAGCGACCTGGCCGCAGGCCCCCATCCTCCAAGGTTACGCATGCAGAGCGTCCGCTGATTGCCGTGCCCTGTACCCCCATCCAATTCCAACAGGTGTTCACCCTGCGGGGGCCTCCTGGGATCGGAGGCCACCGATACCTCCAGGCGTTCCCCCCTCGGGGGCGTCCTGTGATCGAGTGGAGGGGCTGGGGCTGGCACGGTGGGCTGGCACGTCAGCGCGCCTCGCCTCGCGGCCACGTGCTTCGCAGCGTCCGTGCTGGCCACCGGTGCTACATGGTGCTCCCCTCGTGGGGGCTTGCTGGGATGGGTGACCTTCGCCACGTGGGCCTCCGTCCACGAGCCCATCCACGTTGGAAATAATGGAAGCGCTGGACATAGGATCCACCCAAATCCAACCCAGGAGACCAGCGGGTGCTTCGACCAGCCCCCCTTGCAGGGGCCCCCTGAGCAGAGGCATCGACCGCCGCCCCTCAGGACGCCTCGCCCCCGATTGCGATTCCCTCGGAACTCGCCCAGCCAGAGTCTGCGGGGGCTGACGCACACTCCGCAGGGACCCCGCGAGCGGAGGCATCGACTACCGCCCCGAAGGACGCTCCGCCCCCATCTGCTGCCCTGAGAGGACTCCCACAGACAGGTTCAATGTGTTCACGATGCTCCGGAGGACCCCCTGTGCGAACATCACGACTGCCACCACTGCCATTGGAAATGAATGTGGTCGCGCTTGGCCTCCTGCTCATCCGTCTTTTCCTCGCGAGCCTGCGGGGTGGCAGCGCCGTCCACCTCCTCTGGCTCCACAGGTAATTGCGAAGGATCCGTACCTGTCGCTGGCTGTGGAGATGGCGCTGGCGACTCCGCCCTGTGGTTCTTGGAGATCTTCTCCATCACGGTGGCAGGCGAGCCCCTTGGATCACGAAGCTTCTCCTGCAAGGATCCGAAAGTCGCCTTCATCGTCTCCGTCCGAGCTTGGAGAACGGCTTTCTTCCTCCGTTCCACCTCCGTAATGTCAGCGCCGTCCATCGCGCCATCGGCGTTGTCGAACTCATTCCCTAAATTCAGTCTGCAGGGAGCGGTGCCGCCCGGGCGCACGCGGAACGCGGTGCCGCGCGCACCCGTGGGGTGTCCCAGAAGCTTTCGCTAGAGGGCGTCTTGCTGCAGGGGGCTTGACAGCCCTCGACCCCAAGGGAACTCCGGAAAGGAGCACAGGGCTCGAGCAGGGAAACGTCGACCCAATTCGACCACTCGCACCCGTGGGGTGTCCCTAAAAAGCTTTCGCTAGAGGGCGTCCTGCTGCAGGGGGCTTGACAGTCCTCGACCCCAAGGGACCTCCGGAAAAAGCCACGCACGAAACCGAAAAAGCACAGGGGATGGACGTCCGAGCGATGGCGAGCACAGGCTCGAGCAGAGAACGTGTCGACCCCGTTCGCCCACCAATCGCCTACCAGGAGCGTCGGCGCCGCACCCTGCCCGGCAGCTCGCTGTTCCACTGGTCGGGGGCACACCGGCCACGTGTTGCAGGCTCCAGGTCGACGTTCACCCCCCCCCCATCGTCCTCTCTCCCCCCCACACACACACCCTCCCCCCTCTTCCTCCCCACACCCCCCATCCCCCCCTCTTCCTCTTCCTTGTCCTCGCCCTCGACGTTCCCCCCCCCCCCCCCCCCCTCGTCCTCCCCCCCCCCCCCCACACTTCCTCCCCCTTCCTCCTCCCTCCTCATCTTCCTGGTTTGCGTTGCAGGCCACTGATTGGGAGGGGGTCGGCGGCGAGGTCTCGCCAATCTCCTTGGCGCCCGTGCCGAATGTCCACACCAGTGTTCCGTTTGACGAGTTGAGTGCCGCCTTCAGTCTGACCAGCCAGCGGTTGAATCAGAGATGCAAATCCCCCCTACACCTTAGGCGATGCTGAAGAAAACCTAAGTTTTCGTCCAGAGTCTCGATTATTCTTAACTTTTCAATGTAAATCCCAAGATTTTGATAGAAATGCTGGGTTTTATTCCATTTCTGAGACTATGAATTTCTTAACCCATGATTTCTTAAGCATTTCGCAGGGTGTACACGCCCTCCGTCTCCCCTCAGGGGAAGTTGGGGGGGAAGCTGTGCGCCATGCGCTATTCCTCTTCGGCCTGGTTGGCCAAGGCCCCGCCGTCGACGCGCGGGCGCTCCTGACGGCTCGAGGGGCTCGGGGAGCCAACCAGGGGGAGGAGGAGAAGGAGGAAGAAGGGAGCGAGGGAGTGCAGAGGGAGGGAGGAGGAGGAGGAGGAGGAGGAGGAGGAGGAGGAAAAGGAGGAGGAAGAGGAAAGAGGACCACTGCAAGCCCAGGACTCATCAACGATGTAGCCATAAACGCTCCCTCCACGTTCCCTTCCCACAGGGCCCTACGAGAACTCATGTTCATTGAGGGAGGTGCCCCGTTGGAAGACAGAGGTTGGAAAATCGGGAGCAGTGCCAGAACATTATTCTTGGAACTTGAACTCCGCGAATCACCGTCACTGTTGTGTCTTGCCGATCCTGATTCGTGCCTGAACACCAGTGTTGGGACTTCAACACCGCCAATCAACGTGACTGTTGCGCCCTGACATTCCGACATCGTGCCAAAACAGTGTTTCTGGGGCGATGACCATGATAATCTTCGAAACTGCTGCAAACTTGAGAAGAATGCGCGCGGCGCTGAAAGGGAAGCCACATTTTGGAAAGGACCCGCTTTCCATCCTTGAATATGTTGTACACGTTCAGAAATAATGCGCACGGCACTAAAGCGAGAGCTACATTTTAAAAACGGCCAGCCCTCCATCCGTGAAAAGCCTGCATTTGTTTAACACGAGTGCGCGCGGAGCTTAGGCGAGAGCCACATGTTGAAAAGGACCTTCCCTCCATCTCTGAACATGTTGCAAATGTTCAAAACGAGTGTGCGCGGCGCTGAGGAGAGAGCCGCATTTTGAAATATACCCGCCCTCCATCCGTGAAACTGTTGCAAAATCTTAAGCTTCAAGATCGTAGATGATGAGAAAGTCTCAGGCAAAACGTCTGGCCCGCCCTTTCGACCAGCCTCGGGGCGCGACAGGGAGGAGCATTTACAAAAAAGAGGGATGGAGGGCGTTGTTGGCCCTTGTTCTGCCCCCGCCCGTTTGGGCCTCCCTTCGGAGGACCCAGCCTCCTTGGGGGCCGAGGGCGGCATGGCGGTGCGGCTGTGGTCCTCGGATGCGCCCAGGCAGGTGCCTCTCCGCTTCGATGGTTCCCTCGCGCCGCTCGCCCTGGACGGTTTGGAGCTCTTTGCGCGCGCGCACACGCAGCCCATCGTACAGAACTACTCTTGGGAGCTGAAGGACAGACTCGACAAGGTCAACCTGAGCCTGGCCGTGCTGTGGGCGAACTACACCGACGCGGACAGCGCCAACGTGACGCAGGCGGCACTCCGCGCGTTCACGAGCCTTTGTGAGAGGAGGCGTGGTGCACGCGCTGATCACGATGTCTTGTGCGTAGTATACGATCAGTCCTACGCGTACTACCAGCGCGAGTATGGGAGCCACGACCCCTATCCGTATCCTTTTTTTGGTGTGACAACGAAGCTTGGCTTCGGAGATGGTGACCGGTTTGGCTACCCTTTCAAGGAGAATACGGGGAGTCAGACCTCCTGCAATGAACCATTGACGGGTAGCCAAAAGTTAACGGCGGCCCCGCGTGTTCGAACATGGTTCGAAGCAAGGCACGATCGATTGATCGGGCCTGGTTCGAAGCGTGGTCCTGGGCCACAGTAAGTTCGGGGTGCAGGGGGCAAGAAAAAAAACATGTTCGCCGAAATGTAGCAGCATAATGACATGTCATATCTGTATGCATACACACTGTACAAATATATATATATATATATAGAGAGAGAGAGAGAGAGAGAGAGAGAGAGAGCGGCGACGAAATACTGATCAGGGAGGAGCTGGCACTACGGGCTCTTCAGGCTTCCTCGGCAGCGATGAAGAAGTTGGAGGGGCAGAGAGGGCGGCAAGACGGGGACAGAAGACCACGGGAGAGCCACGGGAGACGGATGGGATGTATGCAGCTCCGAGGCAACCGTCAGCCCAGAGAGATGTTGGGCGGAATTGTTGTGTTGTTTGAGGGGGTCAGTGGGTTAGAAATCAATCATTGAGGGTCGGGTCTCGAGGTACGTCTTGTTAGATGAATGGCGAGACGAGAAATAGCCCATTCAGGTTTGAATCCCCCTTCGGCCACTGAGCTCTGGGCTCCTCCCTCAGATGTCCCTTCCAACGCGCCAGCAGAGGGGATCCCCCCCCCTCGCAGGTGAAAGAGGACCGGGATGAATCGATCCCCTTCGCTTTACCCAGAAACATCCGGGGCCAGATGCAGATGTACCAGGGACGGCCACAGAGCTTGCACCCCTGATCTTCCACAGGGCAGAGGGGACCGAGAGGAGCCGCGCCACAAGAAGCCTCAGGATTGGATTCAGCACGCACAACTGCAGTCATGCTGTCCAAGCATGGTATTACTTGCCCGCGTTTGCGTGTTCGGCTTCTCTTTCTGATCGCCTGGTGCCCGCCGTCTTGCGGCTTGCTCTTCCGCTCGCCCTCTCCCGGGGGTTCCTTCTCCTTGCGGGTGCGGGCAGATGCGGCGGGCAGACCCTTGCAAGCGGACGCGGGTTGAGGGGTAGACCCTGATTCGATGGGACGGCCAGGCGCTTGGACCCTACCCTGAGACCCGACGTTGCGAGACAAACAGCATCGCAAAAAAACACGGCCAGAACCCGACCAGAACCATAGACCCCATTTTTCTGCAGCACTTGTCGAGCCAGATCGACCTGTGATGGCCCCAGGGCCGGGATCGGGGCAACAACGCCCCTATGTGAAAAATTGCAGCGCCCAGTCAGGGTGACTCGGGCGATCTAGTCGGGCCAGGCGAGCGACGCAAAAACATGAGGTCGTCTGCGCCGACATTCGTGCGCAAGCTGCCCGCACGAGGTCGCGCGTAAGCGCTCTAGTCTCCAGTGTAGCATGCCGCGCTGGCGGCCCGCGTAAGCCACCGCGTAAGGTCGCTATGTCGTCTCGCCTAAGACCCTGGGGGGGAGGAGGAAGGACCAGGAGGACGAGGAGAATGGGAGGGAGGAGGAGGAGGAGGAGGAGGAGGAGGAGGAGGAGGAGGAGGAGGAGGATGGCCGCGAGTCGGAGAGGACGCGCCGTGCCGTGCCCGCTCCCGCCAGGGGGCTCCCGAGAGCCCCCACCAACAGGGGTCCTGGTGCGCATGGCCAGGACCCCTGGCGCCACGGGGGCCCGCCCGCAGGCAAGGCCCCCGACCGCGAGGACGTCGACCTCCTCCTCCTCCTCCTCCTCTCCTCCTCCTCCTCTCTCCTCCTCCCCCTCCTCCTCCTCTCCTCCTCCTCCTCCTCCTCCTCCTCCTCCTCCTCCTCCTCCTCCTCCTCCTCCTCCTCCTGTGGGACGTGCACATGCCGCCCATGGAGCGCTCACCCACGCTCAGCCAGTGGCCTTGCTGCCGAGCTCGTCCTCGACCCGCCAGACGACTGTCCCCCAGTCGCTCGTGCTGTCGGCGAACTCGCCGTCCAAGAACCGCACCACCCACTCGCCCAGCGAGGCCGAGGCGACCTCCATGGGGCTGTCCAGGCCGCCCATCGCCACGCGGGCCGCCGCCTCGAGCCTGCAGAGCGCAGACCTCACCGCGTCCGCGCCGAACTCCGCCGTGAGCGCCACGACGAACGGGACGATCGCCACGCGCACCTCGCCCACGAGGGCGTCCGCCGCGGCGCGTGCCAACTCGTCGGCCTCGCGCGCGGCGAGGAGGATCGCGTCGTCGAGCAGGGCGTCGTCGCCCTTCGCGTCCTCCTGAGCCTTCCTGCCGCGCCTCCCTTGCCTCGCGGGCTGGGCCTCCGCGGCCGGCGGGGCCATCGCGGCAGGCCCAGCGCACCCAGCCACGGCCGCACCGCGAGCCGCCCGCACCGCTGCGGCCGCGCGCCGCCCCAGCAAGCCGCGCGCCCAGCGCTGCAGCGTGCCAGCTGCGGCTGCTCGACGCTCGGCCTCGCGCCGCTCGGCCAACACAGCGGCCCAGCGCGCAGCCGAGCGGTCGGCGACGGCCTGCGCTGCGTCCCAGCGCTCGCCTCGCCGACCTTTCACCTTGCCCGTCACCAGCTTCCACCCCTCAACCTCCGCGCCCTTCTGCCTGAGCGGCGCACCAGAGCGGCCTCCCTCGGGCGCCTCCACGGTGGACACGGCACCGGCCACTTGCACCGCCTCGCCCTCTTCCGCAGGCGGCCCACGACGCACCAGCTCGAGCAGCTGCTGCCCCCGCCGCGCGCCTTCTGCCGCGGACAACCCCAGGATTGGCACACCGACGTCTCCAGGGTCTGCACGGCCCACTGGTGCAGGATGATGCCCAGCACGGGAGGGGGCGCCCAGGTGGCCGCACCGCAGCAACCGTACCAGCGCCCACCGCACGGCAACTCCGAGCCAACTCCCGTCACCGCGTGCATCAGCTCCGAACGCGGGGGCCTCGGCCGCCGCCTGCCATCGCGCGCGCCGACCCAAGCGCGGCGTTCGTCCCCGCCCGAGCGGCCCCGACCGACCGGGCCTCGGGTAGAAACTAGGAGGAGGAGGAGGAGGAGGAGGACGAGGACGAGGACGAGGACGACGAGGAGGAGGAGGAGGAGGGGAGGAGGAGGAGGAGGAGGAGGAGGAGGAGGAGGAGGAGGAGCGGAGGAGGAGGGGAGGAGGAGGAGGAGGAGGAGGAGGAGGAGGAGGAGGAGGAGGAGGAGGAGGAGGAGGAGGAGGAGGAGGAGGAGGAGGTGAGGAGGGGAGGAGGAGAGAGGAGGAGGAGGAGGAGGAGGAGGAGCGGGAGGAGGAGGAGGAGGAGGAGGAGGAGGAGGAGGAGGAGGAGGAGGCGGAGGAGGAGGAGGAGGAGGAGGAGGAGGAGGAGGAGGAGGAGGAGGAGGAGGAGGAGGAGGAGGAGGAGGGAGGAGGAGGAGGAGGAGGAGGAGGAGGAGGAGGAGGAGGAGGAGGAGGAGGAGGCGGAGGAGGAGGAGGAGGAGGAGGAGGGAGGAGGAGGAGGAGGAGGAGGGAGGGAGGAGGAGGAGGAGGAGGAGGAGGGAGAGGAGGAGGAGAGGAGGAGGAGGAGAGAGGAGGAGGAGGAGGAGGAGGAGGAGGGGGAGGAGAGGGAGGAGGAGGAGGAGGAGGAGGAGGAGGAGGAGGGAGGAGGAGAGGAGGAGGAGGAGGAGGGAGGAGGAGGAGGAGGAGGAGGAGGAGGAGGAGGCGGAGGAGGGGGAGGAGGAGGAGGAAGAGGGTCTTGTCGTCGCCCCGGTGGACCGAATCGGGGCGAACACGCCCGGGTGTGACAAGATGCTGCGCACGGATCTCAGGGCCATCCGGGCGATCCAGTCGGGCCAGGTGGGCATGTCAAGCACATGCCCTCCCCGAGGGGGAGGAGGGAGGCGGGAGCTGGGAAAGGAGAGGAAAGCAGAAGGGAGGAAGGGGGGAAGGGAGGAGAGCAGGAGGGAGCCGGAAAGGGAGAGGGAGGCAGGAGGAAGGAAGGGAGGAAGGGAGGAGGGAGGAGGAGGGAGAAGGTGGAGGAGGGAAGAGGAGGGAGGAGGAAGGAGGAGGAGGACAGCAGAAGGGATTGATTCGGGAGGGCTGTTCGGGTCAGGGCGAGCGGAGTTTGGCTCGGGGGATCGGGCGGCCGCCAAGGCGAACAGGCGGGCCCTCACTCGGGCGGTCGAATCGGTCAGGGTGGACCTCTACTCGGGCCGCTGAGGAAGAATCGAAGAGGGAGAGAGAGAGGGGGAGAGAGAGAGAGAGAGAAAGAAAAGAGTGAGATAGAGAGATATAATGAAAACAATGTGTTTTAATCGTATGTGTGTTGCTTCTCTTCTAAAACTTTAGTAATTAAAAAATGTGGCGTTCGACACGGATGTAAGGCAAAGCGTTCGGGGTGGTCCGTCGTTGTTTTCTCATTGTTTTGAGAGCGGGGGCTTGCCCGGCGGCAGCGCAAGCAGTTTTTTTTGAGCGCTGGGGCCACTATGGAGGGCGTCTCTAAAATGCATCGTGGAAGGAGCCCGTGAACAAGACGGTGCAGACGTTCTTCTCCAGGCGGAAGAAGGCGGTCCGGCAGATGAGCTCTTGGGTGGGCAGGGTGCTGTCGGGCCGCGTGCCAGCCTCCCACGAGTCGGGCCCGGTTCCGACAGAGTCTGGCTGGACTCCTGGCCGGGTGCAGGAGATCGTCTGGAAGACATACCAGCGGGAGGTCAACGGCAGCACCGCGGACGTCCTCCTCGAGCTCTACGACGACCAGAGGAAGAAGGGCCACCTGTCCGATGCCGCCTTGAGGGTGGTGGCGACCACGCTCAAGGACTATGCCTCGCTGAAGGTGGCACGGATGGAAGTCAGCGCCAATCACGTCCCACCCGTTTTCGGGCGGAAAGCGTTTTCGAAGGACACTGAGTATTATTGGGTGCCCCCGAGCCTCATCAGCGGGGAGTGGACACCCCAACTACCTGTGCGGCTCGACTCCACGGGCGAGGTATCGCCAGAGAGGTTACTGCGGTTCTTGAAGAAGCACAGCCTTTCCAGCTGGTCTTTGAAAGAGGCTATAGAAACTGCTTCTGACATCTCCGACGAGATCATGGGCCAGGCCAGGACGGTTCAGCGAGAGGACGACCGCGCGGACGAAGAGAAGCAAGAGATGATAAAGAAAATGATGACAACTTTAAAGAAAGAAAAGGGCCTCGTGGATGTGGGCGAGATGATGGGCCTCAAGAAGGCAGCCGACGCAGTGGGTGTTGAATCGGAATTGGACCCTGCTCAAACAAAAATGAAGGGAAAGGGACGGACGGTGCCGGCAGCCACGAAGGCCGACGTTTCCGGGACTTCAGCAGGCACAGTTGTTGATCAGGAGGGTCGCCGGGAGAAGAGGCGACAGCAGTTGCAGAAAGAGGACGATAAGTTGAAGCGGCTAGAGCGGAAAGAGAAGGACAAGCGGAGGAAACGCCGCGAGGCCGAGAAGGAGCGGAAAGCATTAAAGAAACAGCAGGAAGCAGAAGCCCAGGCGATCCAGGCTAAGGAGCGCGAGAGAAAGCGGAAGAAGTTACAAGAGGAGAGGGCTTTGAAGCCCACTACGGCTTACTTCGCCTGGGGTCAAGCGAAGGATTGGATACGCATCTCTGTCAGCGTGCCAGAACTTCAGCCGGATACTCTTAATGTTAGTATCGTGGATGATGCCATAGTCGTCGCAGCACGGGATTCCCGCAACCGTTCCGTCTCTTTGGGATTCGAATTGCGCGAGTTTGTTGTTCCATCGAACTCATCGTGGAGCTTGAGGTACTCGGAGGGTAACCCTCTCAATCCAAGACCCGACGGTGTGGTATTGAGCTTGCAAAAGCAGATCGCGCATAGATGGGACCGCCTTGCTCAGAACAACAGCGCAATCAAACCGTTCATGCGGAAAGATTGGGTACAGATGGACGATGGCGATTTGGAGGAGGAGAAAGAGGATATCGAGCTACCCGTTGGCCCGAATGTCAAGAAAGTGACGGCCAAAAAGCTCCACCAGTTAGTTGTTGATCACCCCATGGTCGTTGCTGCGATTCGGTACCCATGGTGCGACAAGTGTGTGGAGAAGGACAAACATTACGCCAAGGCTGCTCGGACCAGTAAGGACAAAGACCACCTGGGCACGATTGCTTTCACCGTGATTGATGCGCGAGAAGAAAAGCACGTCGCCCGAACCCACAACACGACTTGCAGCGACGAGTGCGAACTGCAGATCTTCAAGCAGGACGAGCCTGAGGAGCCCTACACTGTCCCCGGACGGAAGTTCCCAGAGGAGGTGCACATAGATTGCTACAAGCATCTTCTGCCCGTCGTCAGCATTGTGCCCGACAAGGCGACACTCGATAGAGTGACGTCTGCCTTCGATACCGCCATCATAGGATTCTTCTCGGGCGCGGACAAGCAGCAAGACCCCTGGTATCTGTCGGCCTCCGCCTATCCCACCGCCGTGGCTCGGGGGGCCTCCAGGGGGCCTGTGGCACACCCCGGGAGTGCCTGGAATGCCCAGAACAAGCCAGGCATCCTCACAAATACAATGGCCCAAGTGTGCATCGAGGACGGACGTGTTGCATAAACGTCTACAGTCGGGGCGCTATCGAGGGAACCCTTTTCGTTGGGAAGGGGCTCGGTGTTTTTTTGACTGTTTCACAGCTTGCCTACGGTTGCCCTTATTAGGTTTTCGATGGGAAGCCGAAGTTTCACTTATGGACAAAAGAGGCCTCGCTCCTTATTTTTGGGGTTCCTTGGGTCAACGCCCCGACGGTATGGTCGGAGCTCCGCGCGGATTTCTCGGCGCGGCGCCGGGCCCCCCCTGGCGCGCCAGGGGAGGGGTGATCGGCGCCGAGCCGAGGGATCGGCGGCGCGGACCTCCGAGGGCTTCGGCGTGCATCTTGAGCGTCGCTCGGACGTGGGCATTGTTTTTCTCGGCGTGGGCCACGGAGGAGCATCTTTGTGATCCTCTGGCGAAGCATGCACTTTTTTGGGGCCCGCGGGCAGACGCGTAGAGCAAGTCGCCGAGGAGGGGGGGGGTCCCGGGGCACGGCCCAGCCCAAGTAACTAGCTACCGAGCCACGCGCGAGACGGCCGGGCAGGCGAAACAGGCACGCACGAGGTCGAAAAAAAACTTGCACGGGGGAGGGACGTCCGAGCGATGATCGCGAGGCAGGCGCTCCTCTCCCCCCGCGGCCCGCGCGCCGAGGGTCAGGGCCGGGCGTGGGCTCCGCAGGGGCTCGGGGGTGCGGGCCGCGCCGCGGGTGCCGGTCGCGAGGGAGCGCGCGTGCCTGGCCAGGTCGGCCCGCCGCGGCCAGGGGGAGGCCCCGCCGCGCCCTGCGCGCTGCGAGCCTGGCAGCAGCAGGCGGCCCTGTTGCGAGAGCCCGCCCACGACCTGTGTGCTTTTGAGCCCTGGAGCCATCGAGAGCGAAAGGGCCCTGCTCGACGTGTGTATTTTTTTGTTTCGGCGAGGGCGTGTGTATTGTTTTCGGCGGCCCTGCTCCTGGCATCGCGCGGAGGTGTGTATTTTTTGTGCGGCGGGGGCCCCTGAGGAACATCCTGGATCAGCGAGCGGAAAACAAAAACGCGCACGAGACCGAAAAGTGCACGGGAGAGGGACGCCCGAGCGACGGCAAGCTGCTGCGAGAGCGCGCCCACGGCTGGAGCCATCGAGAGCGAAAGGACCCGGAACCCTAGCAGCACGATGGAGGCGTGGCCTCCTTGGGGTCCGCGTCGTCCCCCTCTACTCGGCATCGCTCGGACGTGTGCGTGTTTCCTTCGGCGAGGACCATCCAGGAGCATCCCTGATCATTTGGCGAAAAAGCCACGCACGAGACCGAAAAAAACACAGGGATTAGACGTCCGAGCGATGGCCAGTCTGGGGATCACAGATCTGGGCGGTTTGGCCCCGGCACACCTGCAGAAAAGACCCCCTCTGTCCCTGGCACACCTCTGGCCCTCCTGGCTGAGGAGGAGGAGGAGGAGGAAGAGGAGGAGGAGGAGGAGGAGGAGGAGGAGGAG